CCCCAAAACCCCAAAACCCCAAAACCCCAAAACCCCAAATATTAAAAAAGGAATTGAAACGAGGTGTATAGTAATAGTATTATATTGCAATATTTTTATTCTCAAATAAAATGCTTGCTGGTTTTAGAAAAATATTTAAAAAGTCATTAATAAATAAATATATTATTTTTATAATCTTCCTAACCTCTCGTTTGTTCTCACACAAAATATACCATGGATATGAAAAATGGAGCCCAAAGTTTATATAATTTCCCTATTTTATAATCATCAGGACAGTTAATCAGTATTAAATATGGGCAAAAATAATCATAAATTTCTTTCTTTTGCTATAAAATCTAATTTTAAGCGCTTTCTGAAATAACCTGTGATTACTACAACTACAGAAAATTCATATCTTTTCCTACCATCCCTTTTCTTCCCTAAAACCCCAATAAAACATACTCACCTACTCTACAACCTTCAAAACTTGTTATTTAACCCCAAAACACCTCCCAAAATTCCGCATAAAATAACCCTAAATTCATCCTCCTTCAGCCCCAAACTCCCCTCTAAATCCCCCTCCCCAATACCCAACCACTAAACCTCCTCCTAAAATCCTTCCTCACTCAGCCCGCTTAAACCCATCTCCCCAACTGCGACTAAAACTCCCTAAAATTTTACCCCAAAACAAGATATTTTAAGCTAAATGCTACAACTACTACTTGGCCAGCCAGAATATACCCTAATGATAAGGACTGGGCTGGTCTAGACATGCTGAGGTAGTACGTTAAAGAAATATTAGTTTTGTTAATAATGACTGCTGTGTGGTGGGATGGGTAGAGATGTAGAGGGAGAATTTTGACAGAGTTGAGGTTGTTGGGATTAGAGATATTTAGGGTTTTGGGGGATTTTTGTTAAGAAAAGTTAGGTTAAACATGTTCCTTAGTGGTGTAAATTAGTGCCTCATATGCTCGGGGAAGAGATAGAGGCTTGATCGGAGGAGCTAGGGGTGTCTTTGGGTAAGGAAAGTAAGGGCTGGTAGTTTTTTGGGCCTGAAATTGACTTTTGAGGTCTAAGGGCTGGGCGAGCAAATCTTCCTTTTGGGTGGTAAGATGAACGTAATCTTTCTACTCTCCAGGGTTTAATTTGAGAAGTATATGAAGGAGAGATAATGATTCTCTTATCTTTATCTAGTACCAAGCGACTTGTAGTGTTTTTTCTTTTGAAACCTTTAGTTTTATGCCTAAGACTTCCCTTGCTTGATGAAGTCTTTATACTTCCGAAATATTTCTCAGAATCCCTAATTAGCTGAATTTTATTTGCTAGGAGTAGCTGGTGTAACGATGATATTTTCAAACCCGTTTGATTCATGAGTTTGTTTATTTGAATCATAGAAATTTAAGTGATGGTCGTCATCATCAAAATGTCCTTCTCAGTATTTTAAGGAATCTCTATATTTTCTATTAGGAAGTGTTTTAAGCGATTAATTCAAGATTTCTGATGAAGCAGTGTGAAATCTCATTGAAAAAAATTGCCGAAACAAAAATACAAATGTTACTTACGAGAACGATAAAATCGGAACTCTCTCTGTAGGATTTGTATCAAACACCTGATCAAAGCATTCAGAGTGAAGCTTCTTGTTTGATTGGTTTGATTCATTTTCTATAATGGGTTAGGCCAATATTCGTGTTTAATTAAGCCAATCGAGGATATCTTAATATTAAAAATATCTCAAAACGTATGATACATCTGAAAATAATATCTTTGATTCAAAGACTAAAATGTGGAGTTAATTCTTACCTTTTTTGGCTATTCCACAGCACTGGTTATTTCCCATAGTAAGGTATATTTTAAAATATTTATATTCTATAGTTCAGTAAGATTTATAAGTACTGGGGTTTTGGGGTTTTGGGGTTTTGGGG